TGTGCCAATTATGCAATTATTATTATTATTATTATTATTATTATTATTATTATTATTATTATTATTATTATTATTATTATTATTATTTATTATGATTTGTTGCACAGCAAGCTAGATATTGAGACTAGATTTGGCATTTTTGACCACTTATTGAGTCCTTGCCAAGGACATGGGATAGGCAGATGTTGTTTGATGGGGTTACAGATATTGTTGCAGGATGTAAGCTGTTTGGAGTGAAGCTGCCTTTTGCAATTGACTAATGGTGTTTTTGTCAATGCTGGTGGTAGTCCAATTGTTTTGGGATTTTGCCCAAGGTGCCTATGATTATTGGTACTACTGCCATTTTGCTTTCTTTTGCCACAGTCATAGTATTTCTATTTGCAGGTCTTTGTATTTAGTAATATCTCCTCCTCCTCCTCCTCCTCCACCACCACCACCACCACCACCACCACCACCACCACCACCACTACCTTCACCATGATTGCACAAAACATAGCTTAGCACCTACCCACATAACAGCTTGAAATCATGCAAGTGCAAGTAGATTAATAGGTACCACTTTGGTGGGAAGGTAACCCACATTCTCTGCACCTTTGCTGCCACATGACAATGGAAATTGTCTTGGCTCCCTTGGCCAAGAAACAGAAATGAGCACCGTACCCTAGAGTCAGGCATGACTGACAGGGAAAACTTTATTTTTATATAAGTCTACTAAGAAAAAAGTCCCATTATATATGTTTACCCCACTTTCAGGTAAAGAAATATAGGGTAGCAGCTATACAGCCTTTTATCAAAGATGATATTACTGGAGTTTAAGAGATTGCTGGAATAAATAAATGTATTTAGGTGTTAGATTTACAGTGCAATGTTACGTTTGTGGTACTTAGAAGGGATCTCAATCAGACTTCCTTTGAGGTTATTCATTTAAGATTTCTATTTTAGGCTTTCAATGAAAATCAACATCATTACTACAGTATTATTGTAATAATTATATTGTATTGTATTACTCCTGTTACAATTACTGTTTTACTTTAATTCCTCATCTTCCCCCTCCTCTCAGAGAGCTAAGAAACAATACCATTTTTAAAAGAACCCACACTATTTAAAAAAATACAATAATTACAAAATAAAAAATTGCAATAAGATAATTTAAACCACTATTAATGAGTATTTAATGAGGCATTAATTTGTTTATATGTAGATCATAGACACAATTAGATGTAATAAGGTTATGTGGAATTCAATGATTGGAATATTTTAATCACTAAAAATATGATGATAAAACATAGTTTTCCAAAAGTTGCTGGTAAGAAAAAAATAATTTAAATGAGAAAGTGAAAAGCAGTTGGAGCTAACTGTAAAATCTCTGATAGATACTTAACAGAATCAGTGACAAATGGCAGTTACCTGATACTATCAGGGCTGGCACTGTTTTCACTCTTTCAGGATACGAAATGGCAAAAGTTTACTTATCAAAAGTTTCCTTCTTAACAGAACAGAATAACAGAGTTGGAAGGAACCTTGGAGGTCTTCTAGTCCAACCCACTGTTCAAGCAGGAAACCCTATACCATTTCAGACAAATGCCTATCAAGTCTCTTCTTGAAAATTTCCAGTGTTGGAGCATTCACAACTTCTGAAGGCAAACCATTTCACTCAGAGGTGGTATTCAGCAAGTTCTGACCAGTTCCGGAGAACCGGTAGTGGAAATTTTGAGTAGTTTGGAGAACTGGTAAATGCCATCTCTGACTGGCCCCGCCTCCATCTATTCTCTGTCTCCTGAGTCCCAGGTGATTGGGAGAAAATGGGGATTTTGCAGTAACCTTCTCCTGGAATGGGGAGGAAATGGAGATTTTAGAGTATCCTTCCCCTGTCACGCCCACCAAGTCATGACTACCAAGTCATGTCATGCCCACCAAGCCACACCTACAGAACAGGTAGTAAATTGTTTGAATCCCACCACTGAGTCCACTGTTTAATTGTTCTTACTGTCAGGAAATTTCTTAAGGTGTATTTCATTAGAATAGAGCAAACCAGAAGAAACCAAAGTATGGAGTGCAAAATTATCTCATCCTTGACCATAATATAATTTAATACATCTCACATTAAAAAAAATCTATGTTGTATTGACCAGGAAAAATTACTGTATGGATTGCTGCAATACAAACAAATTATACCAGTAAATGTGTAACATATTTTGAACTGTTAACAGTCTTGTAATTATATTAGATTAAGAAATTATAGGTATAACAGCAATTTATATCAGATTATTAGAAAGAATCTGTGTATGGGGAGAAACAGTACATGCAAACCAGTTAAGAAGAATTTATCTCCTGGCTGATAGAACAAAAAGGAAACTTGCCATCTATCCATCCCTTTTACTTTCGTTTAAAGTAATATAGTGCCTATCAAGTGTTCTCACTTACAATATTGAATGTAGTGATATAGTAAAGTACTGTATATTGTGATATTTTGCCAACATATATTTTAAAATTGAGTTCATTATGAATAACAAATTTTTTTTTGCTATGATAGGCTCAATACATTATTTACATATATGCCTTTCTGTCTTTAAAAATAATACAGGGAAACTCGATATATAGCACTATTTCATTTAACATCTTACTATGCATGTCATATAAACAATATGCCAGCACATGGTTTGTTTTGAATGAAAGTGAAGCTGGAACAAATAATGGGAAAGAATGTACAATATTCTTTTAGGGAAGGGAAACAATATTTAATCATTAGAATTTATTTTTTTCATCTTACCAGATTGACACTGAAGCCCGAAGAAACCAAATGGGCAAGCACATATATTTGGGCGAATACAGGTCCCACCATTTAGGCAAATGGGTTTGCAAATGGCTGTCCCAAGAGAAAACAAAATAAAAACTTATTTCAGGTAAGGAGGAAAATATAAAATATTCTTCTTTGCTCTCTCACTATTTTTTTTTATTAAGAATGCAGTATAATTCTGTTTTAAGCAATGGTTCAGTGAGCAATGAGACATGCTGTCTCCTAGAATCACAGTAATATTTAGTTTAATGTTTGTTTTGCAATCTGCTTCTCCAGGTGCATCTCTATTACTGAGGCACTTTGAGACAAATTTCTTCTCTGCTTTTTCTCTCACCTTTTCTGTCCATTGTAGAAACAGTAACACCTTTTCAATTTGTTGTAAATGTTATGATACTGAAGTCCATGATATTTTGACTACTATTTACTGGTTCATAGCATGAAGTTTATGCTTTGTATTTTACCAATGCTGTAAAAATGTGTATTCAGTCAAATCTATAAATAATATAAATTGGCACTCATGTACAATAAAATCATCCATGTTGTCTTGTCTTGAATAAGACAAAACAGTTTAAGAGAAATGGGAGTTGCTTTGTTAGTTTGAGGATAAAATTAATTGGATTATAAATATATATTTCAATTTTTATTCAATGTTTATTTAGTGATCTGAGCAAATCTATAAAGTACATTAATTTGTTTGAATTGTACAATTAGAAATTAGTACTTTTATGATACCTGTATGCATATTTCTGTGTTTGTATGTTAGTCAATGTGCAATACTTTCAGTGAAAACTAATTGAAGCAAAATGCCATGAGCACTATTAATATTTAAGTACATTAATGCAAATTGGTCCTTATTTGACTTGGATATACAAGCTGCTACACCTGTAAATATAATTCTTAAGGGTTATTCATATTAAACTGACACAAACAATCTAAAATGTGTATACAATAAATGCGATAAACCTTTTACTCCACTCAGCATTCAGCTTTTATTACATTTTTGTTGCATAATGTAGCCAATTAGAAAAGCAACTTACAACTGTTTCCTTGGAATGTAGTCATTAAGAAAGCTGCTTCCCTCTCCCCACAGTAGAAATATGACGAAAAAAGAGGACAGAAATAATATTAACACTAATAATCCCTACAGGGATAGACTGACCATATAGACATTTTTTCCCCTCTTTTCATATTAACCAGAAAGTGAAATATTGAATATAGTTGATGCCATGATGCCAACCTGAGATTTATGAAGACAGGACACTAATGTTATATTATAGCCAGTTAGGTGGTTAATATTTCAAAAAAGTGGTCCCAGGAAGCAGGAGGTTTATTGAATCACTGCTTGGGTGTTATTTATGATTTGTGTGCTTGGCTTCCTTGGTGCACTTCAACTTGTGTAAACTTGTCATCAGGACTTGCTCTGCATCAGTTTTTACCAGATCCTAACCCTGATTCCATTTATTTCACCCCTGACTTTGGTAAAAATGCAAACTCTGGAACGCTTTAACATCACAAGCCCCCCTCCCCAATGGCCATTGCAGTATGTTTCTATGTGATAGGGAAGAAGCAGTTTTTGTCAATTCATAAATGGTGTTAACAAAAGTAAAATGGAATGAAATCAGATTTAGCATTAAAGTGTAGCTTCCACCGAGTGCAGTTTGCAGGTTAAAAAGAACCCACACATCTTTATTTATAGTGATTTGTAGATTTTTTTGGGGGGGGACACCCCCATATTTGCAGCATTATTTAGGAGTGCTAATTACAGTTTACAAAAATCTTCATAGCATGTGCTTTTCCACTTAGGGTCCTTCCTTAAGAGTTTGGGATGCATAACAATACTTTGGGGCCAAGTGTTGTATTTTTCTTAGAATAATTTGCCGGATTCTATATTCCAGGAAGCATAGATCCAATAAGTCATAGGTTTTCAGATAACATAAAATTACACGCTTAATTTCATTTGTTTCTACTTCATTAAAACTATTACTGTTAAAATTATTACTCTTCAATTGTATTATAAAACATTTTTCCTTCTATCATGTAATAATATTACTGTCATATTATAATATCTTACTATTACATTGGTAAGAATGTTTGAAGGTCCCCAACAGAAGCTTCAGAGGCCACAGGTTGCCCTAAGATTGAATCACTACTTTGGCTTCACATTTAGCTGTTGGTGAAAACAAGAAAACTAGACTACGAAATGTCTACTGCATTATAAATGTCTGCTGCTAATAACCGGGAGATGTAAAGAGCTATGGTTATTGAACGCTTTGATGCAGTGGTGGGTTCTGGATCTCATTGCAACTGGTACAGTGCAACTGGGCTCAGCATCCACCCCATGAATGCGTGCAACATGCGCAAACATATGTCCTCCTGTGACGCCTCTGCGATGCTCCAGATGCTTGGCGGAGAATTTAATATCAGCCCCAAATAAATGTGTTACAGAAGTTGCATGCTATGCCTTTAAGAAAATTATCATATAATGTGTTTTCATGGAATATTTTAGTAACATATACCTGTTTCACATAAAGGACCACTCCATCCAGCCTTGCATTGGCATTCATCTGGTACTACACATTCCCCACCATTGTGACAATGCTTATTACAAACCACTGAAAAACAAATTAAGGCAAGGTCAATTGTACCAATTATTAGCACCTGAATTTTGCCCTAAATTATGCTGATTGAAATCCAGGGCAGCCATTGAGAGCTTCTCAAGGACTACGTTATTAAAACCAAAATTCAAATGTCATGTAAACCCTTAATTTCTTAATGAACAGCTTTTAAAAAAACCTGATTCACACAGAAATTTCTTTTAAACCTATTGTAGATATCTTTGCAGAGAGGTGTTTTTAAAAAATGATCAAGGATAACAGGATAGTCAGTCACTGACCCGGATTTGTAGTTTAGATAGTGCAAAATATGTGTACTATTAAATTGTGACTAGTTTTAAAGACAGATTATCTTAAAGCTATTAACATATTAGTATACATGTTGAACAATAACTTGACTCTTAATGGCAATCCCCCCCGTCCTTTATATTCTCAGTATTTTAATGTATTTTTTTCAATGCTTTGAATTTTGCAAACATTATTATAAACAATGTTTCTCTGCAACAGAGCTGTTACAAAGTAAGTATTGAAAAAGATTGAATACATTTTATGGTGTTAATGTGCTTTTAGAAAGCACAACATCGGATATGATGTTACTGAGCATTAAATATATTTATTAATATTGAAATACTGAGTTACATGTTGCATACTAGATTAGATTTGATTTAAAATAATATCAGAATTATGGTCTGTCACACAGTCAGCCAGATGCTAAGATTGGATTTAGCATTTTTATCTACCTATTGAGTCCTCCCCAATTATTATTATTGCTGTTGTTGTGTAAAGTTTGCATTCTTCTTTCTTGTATTATTTATTAGCTATCAAAATGTGGGAAGATTGCTAAAGTTACATACGCATAATAGTATACTTACGTGTTTCACATCTTGAACCAACAAATCCATATGCACAGGAACAGATATTGTGACTGATACAGGTCCCTCCATTTTCACACAGTGGATTGCAAAGTGCTATACAAAAGAACAGAAAAATGATAACTGAATTTAGAATAGATTGACTGTAACATAATGAGAATCCTGTTGATCTATATTCTATCACTGACCTATCTCTGAACCAAGATAACTCAAAAGATACTCAAAATGCTGGGACTCATTCCCAATTCCCATGAATTGAAGTTGGGGAAGTTGGTTTGCTTCAACACCACTGCCACTTACCTAGCTGCTTCCCTAGGAGTTGCAATTCTGCTGGTTTCCCCACTGATGTTGTGCCTGCAAGCTTCCCACAAGGAAAGTAAATGGGGAAGCCAGCAGGAATTCTAGGGAGGGAGGAAAGGGGAAAGCTCACTGCCAGCTTCCCACAAGGAAACTCAATGGGGAATCCAGTTATTGTGTTATTATTACATATACTTTCACAAAGAGAAGCTAAGCTTTCTTCTGTGATCTTTGCCTGCCTGCTTCTTCTTGCCTGCCTCCAAACTTTCCATGTGGCAATTGATTATAACGTAAGAAAGATGTATGAAAAATATCTATAAGGTTTTCCAAAAAATATAATTTAATTGAATAAATGATTTTATAGTTATAGACACATTTTATTCCCTGGCCTTGACTTCCATAGCTTTTTTTTTTTAAAGCTATTCTTGTTCTCATATTATAATGCCATTAGAAAATGGTAAGGCAAACCAGTCTTCAGCTTCTGAATTTACTTGAATAAATAAGCTGAATTTCGGACTTCCTGGGAGGAGCCTACTGGTGGGGGCAGCAAAAAATCAGCTGCCTCCGAATTCCTGGCTACGTACCTGTTTAGAGGATCTTCCATCTGACGTCTTATCAGGTTTTCTTATCCTTCAGGCAAGAAGGAAAGAAGAAACTGTTTTGCTGGCAAATGCTCTTCGATTTTTGCAGCTTTTGTGCTTGCAAGGAAAGGGGGGCTAGCCCAAGGCAGAACGGCTGTCCGTGCTGGGAACTTCAAACTGCCTTGTGCAGGACAAAGTAAGTCTCCCCCACTCTGNTTTTTTAATTTTTAATTCCCTTGTTGTCTGTAAGCCGCCCAGAGTCCCCTGGGAGTGGGCGGCATGCAAATACCAATAAACTTCAAACTTCAAACAGGTAGTTGTTGACCATTTGTTCAGTGACCTTTCAAAGTTACAATGGCACTGAAAAAAGTGACTTATGTTTTTCACACTTTCAACATCCCCATGGCCATGTGATTTGGAAATTCAGGAGCTTGGCAACTGGCATGTAGTTGTGATGATTGCAATGTCCCAGGATCATGTCGTCACTTTTGAGAACTTTTAACAAGCAAAGTCAAATGGGGAAGCCAGATTCATTTAACAACCATGTTACTAACTTAACAACTACAGTGACTCACATAACAACTGTGGCCAGAAAGGTTGTAAGAACTCACTTAACAACTGTCTTTTCTTAGCAATGCAAATTCTGGCCTCAGTTGTTCAATAATAATAGCACTTAGACTTATACACCGCTTCACTGTGTTTTACAGCTCTCTCTAAGCTGTTTTCAGAGCCAGCATATTGCCCCAAGCAACAATATGAGTCCTCATTTTACCGACCTTGGAAGAATGGAAGGCTCAGTCAACCTTGAGCCGGTGAGAATCGAACTGCCAAACTGCTGGCAGTCAGCAGTCAGCAGAATTAGCCTGCAGTACGGCATTCTAAGGGACATGGTGGCTCAGTGGCTAAGATGCTGAGCTTGCTGATCGGCAGTTCCAATCTCTAAGCCGCGTAACGGCGTGAGCTCCTGTTACTTGTCCCAGCTTTTGCCAACCTAGTATTTCGAAAGCAAGTAAAAATGCAAGTAGAAAAATATGGACCACTTTAGTGGGAAGTTAACAGTGCTCTGGGCACCTTTGGCGCTGAGTCATGCTAGCCACATGACCATGGAGATGTCTTCAGACAGCGCTGACTCTTTGGCTTTGAAATAGAGATGAGCACTGCCCCCTAGAGTTGGGAACGACTAGCACATATGTGCGAGGGGAAACTTTACCTCTACCTTACTGCATTCTAACCACTCAAGGTTCAAGGTTCAAGGTTCATTTTATTTATATGCAGCCCTATTCCCGGCGGGACTCAGGG